CGGTTCATACAACCTTAACCGAGCGGAATTATTTTGTTTAAACGAAATATGCATCGCTCAGATCGCAGGTGCTCGCCACTTCTAGATGGCAAGAACTATAATATCCGGAGGTACAATCTCCGAAAGCGGAGCTCGTAATGAGATCAAATTAAATGGGATGCCCCGCCGTTCTCGGTGAAATTAATGAACGCCCTCGCTCGAGTGTTCGCCGCGAAACAGCGATTCAACGAGCTTCCTATGTACAGTTTCACGCAAACACGTACATCACCGTTTACATGCATTCAGACAATTCTCGTTTCAAAATCATTTTTATTGATTATTAAATGTTTAAAAAATATAGACGATCAATTTCTGTTTTCATCGCAATTTATACTCACTGGCTTATTTCTTTGTAAGTTTAAGTGTTTAAGGTTCCAGGATTTTTACTTATCTACTTCATTCTCCTGAGTTCATGACCTGTTAAAGGGTCCAGGGTTTAAAGAGTTCAGAATACATAAACTCGTCTTTATTAATATTAAAATTATAGGAAAATACGCCAGTGAGTAGAAATCGTGACTCGAACAAAGATTGAGGCATTTGCTATAATTGATCAAATAATGAATATTTAAATTTGAGTTTTTAATTAATAATAAAACAAAATATAATTAAAGTAATTTAAATTTTCATTTAATAGTACAGCATAATAAAAGAAGGAAATATTTCTCTGCCAACTTACTAAACCTTTTCTACTGCTTTTCATCAACTGTCTGAATACTTGTCAATGGTTATCGTTTAATATCTCGTTTATAATGCAACATCGAGCCTCGGCATACACGTTTTCGTCACGTGTATCCGCGACACGTGAGGGTATGTTTGCGCTTCTTTATTTACACTTGAACGCGCACGTGAGTACGCTGTACAATTCTGATTCAATTCGTTATTCGAACTGAGACCATTTGCAATCATACATACATACGTGTCATCGATTCTACGTTTAAACAAATCGTTTCTATCTACATTTTATATCTGTGCATACAGAACAGTTTTGGTTCTTTAGTTTCCTTAATGAGAGGACTGCTTTGTACGAGGTGAATCAATGGGAATGCCCATATTTATGTACTTACATACCCCAAATACGTAATTAATAATTTGTGCCAATATCGATTATCTGATTAATAGTCAATGAATGGATACACATAATAATCTTCAATTAATAATCAATATGTAGAAGATAATCACGATTTCCATCCTGATAANATTTCTAATAATACATTCAATGGTAATAGATTTATTCTACTTTCAAAAGTAGTAGCTCATATGTTGGGCATTTTTATCGGTCACGTCATGCTACTCACCATCCTTTTACCTACTTCATTATTCTATGTTCGTAGGACGTCTGCAAACTGTGCCAAAGCAAAAACCGAACGAACTTGTTTGCTAACTTTTGAGCACAGGTATTGTAGATGCAGGTGGTTTATATGATGAACAAATACACCTAACTCGTATTTTGGCTGGACATCACTCACTGTGTGTCGCTAATAATACTCGTCTCTGTTTATTTTCTCTGCCAAATTGCATCGAGTTTGGTGTATATTAACCCCTTAAGTTACAACTACATGTGAGACTCGGATATTAGGGCCAAAACTGATTATTACAAACCTGGCCCATGGTGTTTGAATTTAAATCGTAGTTTAACCCATTCGCTGCCAAGGACGAGTATACTCGTCTTTGGCAGGGTGTCACGCATTGCCAGGACGAGTATACTCGTCCTGCTTTAAATATATTATAACATGCAGGCTTTTGAATTAGCAAATTTTTTGTGGCCACAAACATAAATATAAATATGTAAAAAACTTGAAAAAATACTACAAATAAAATTTTTTACAAAAATAATACTTTATTTCTTATAGAGAATGATCTTTTACGCAAAAATCAACCTACAATATATATGCATTATGCACAGCCATTTCTATGATGTGTACAGCTATTTTTTTATACCACCGAAGAGTTTTTCTCATAGCACTATAGTAGGACAGCATTTGATCCGAACGGTCTACACCTGCCATACCTTTTGTGTAATCCCTTACAATATTGGGTTTGATGGAGACTCAAAATATTGGGTTGTCCGGAAAGTTCGTGCCGATATTTTAGGACAATTAAAACGCAACTCATTTAAATATCGTGTATGGCTGATTTTGATTGATTTAGCATTCGTGCTAATTAACGTAATGTCGAGCGTGGGTTGTTCTCGATATATTCAATCAGGTCTCTCGCGCTACCTACCGAAAATCGGCACGAACTTTCCGGACAACCTAATATAAATGGCAATAGGAATGACTTCATATAATTTAAGCTTGGCAGCGAATGGGTTAAAGGGTTAAAAATTACAAAAATAGAGGAACGGGCGATAGTAAATTGTGCGTCCAGTTTCTCATTCCTTCGATTAACCACAGTTAATCCTCAAGCTGACAAACCTTCGTATATATATGTATATACGTGCAAATGTATGTATATACACTCTCGTTCACGAGTCTGAGGCCGATGCGTCCTTCTGAAGCCCAGCGTCCACTTGTATCGTATCGTCTTCGTCAATCTAATCTAACAATACGGTGCGTCGTCGATGATGAACGTCAATTTCAATCGAAATCGATGAAGTTTACCCTTAATGTCGCGTTTCGCTCAAATCGAGTACAAAATATTAGTGCCTTAGGTTAAAGTCCTCGTACTGGAAGGATGTTTCTAAATTGGTAATTACTATAAGTGCGTAACTATAATAACTACGGTGAGATAGTTCTAATAAGAGCAGTGAAACATTCCCTCGTTTTCAATTTTCATGTTTATATACGAGAAATTCGTGTTAATTGTGCATCGAACGTTGAATGAAAGAACGCGAGATTTTTTTTAAAAAAAATATTGAATGCGAACGAACTTGATAGAAGTTTTTAAAAAGTCGAGATGGGAAATGGTTTGATCCGACGCGAACAAGGAAATGGGAAATTTTACGCGTATTAAAAGTTTGCTGCGCGGACGGGGAACATCAACGGAATCAATGATTCAGACGTCGAGAGTTGCCGTCGGTAGACGAGTTCGTTTCGCGCATTTGCAAATGAGCGTGAAACACGGATTCGTTGCGAATGGATTCGCGAGGAAAAAGAGAACGAGATCGTGCCGCGGCGTCTCTGTCGTTTGGCAGTGGAACGCTCAGCCATAAATCCGACTGTCGCGGCCGGTGCCAAACGCTAACTTTTTTTGTTTAAAAAATTGACGCCACGGTCTGGAGACAGTCGTTTATATCGTGGCGAGACGCGGCAAAACTCGGAACGTAAATCAAAATTCTTTCGAATTTGATTTTGAAACGATCCTCTGGAGTTGCTATAATTGCTATCATTGGGTCGCATCTTTTTTTTCTGATCAACTTTAGTCGAAAACATTTTTTTAAAATTATCACAAGTACTTGAAAAATCGTGAAAAGTGTTACGTAGGACACCCTGTATATTATCTCCAAGTTTCCTACATTAGTCACGGGATGTTCATTAAGGATGTATTGGCTAGACAGTCAATCCCAAAAAT